GAAAAGCTCACCGGAAGCGCTGGCGCCGCCATCTTTTTTTGATGAAAAAGTGCTTCCGGTGAGCTTTCTACCCGGAAAAGCTCACCGGAAGCACTTTTTCATCGAAAAAAGATGGCGGCGCCCAGCAACCAGCGGCCCGGTAGGACTTGTACTGGTGGTTGGGGACCCCTGGTTTAAACCTTGCCCACATTTGCTCATGTAACAATGTAATTCGTGTGTAATAGAGGGGTGTGTGTCCGGTTTTGACCCTTGCCAGGTGAACGAAGCCCAGCTGAGCCAGCTGATCTTGACCAGGGGAGGGGCTGCAGAGGAGAACGGGAAGAAGCTGCTGCCAGACTGCATTGAGGACGAGGATGGGCTAACACTCACGCCTCTTGGGAGGTACCAGGTAGGCCAGTGACACCTGCTCAGGACGTGGTGCCCAGGAGAACGTAAGCCAGGCCCTGGTACATGGACCCCTGGCCCACTGGGTCCAGCAGGCTGCTCTCCCGGTGGCCTATCCCCTGCCCAGGGATCGACACCCTTTACCAGGCAGGAAAGACCACCAGGCTAAAAAAATAATATACTGTAACATTGAATAATTCAGATTGATAATTTAATAATTATATGCGTTAATATCAAACTTGAAAAATTGTCAGCTGTATTAAGTAAGAGGAATATTGTCATATATTTGTATCAAAATGTAAGACACTATGGAAGCAACACTGTTCACACATTGATTTTTGTTGTAACAAAAAATAATAAAAAAATATTGGGGGGAAAAAAGAACAAACATAAGAAAGAAGAAAATGATATACATTTTGAATTGCAGCATGTCAGCCAGAAATGTGGCTACCGCCAGAACTACCAGGAGCCCAAAGTCAGATGAGAGAACGCTTGAATATACATGAGTTAAACATTCTGGTTGAAACATAAATAAATAAAGATTTGTCTTGAATCAGTCCACAGTCCACAAACTATAAGTGTCTGTGGTTTACAACAATCATTTTGGGACTGAATATTTTCACACTTCTGCTGGTAATAGATATCTGTGCACACATAAAACACTGTTGAAGGTGAAGTAAACGGGGAATAGTAAAAAAAAAATGCACTGGGAATTGCTGCGAGTTAGACCTTGGCTGAAGAGAAGAGCAGATCTAGATCTGCAGGAGATCTGGGTGAGCTCAAAGGGAGGGTCATTATCCAGGACATTGACTGGCTGTCTTTCCCAGTCAGGAGGCAGAGGTCAGTGATGCCATCTGATGTAGGGCTATTTTAGAGGCTTGATGTTGTTTTTTGATAGGAAGTTTTGTCTGAAGGTCATTTTTTAAAAATAATTTCACTGGAAAAATCACAGGGAAACTTGCGTGAGGAGGATGGGATTAATTCACACGGTTGCCAAGCTCTGCTGGAAGGCTGGGTTGCAGACACACTCCTGCAGGGTCTCTCTGAGGTGGGTGACAGGTCCTGAACAGCCGGCTTCCCCTTCTTGCACTAGATCATCAACGGCCTGCGGAAGTTCCAGGTGGAGTACCAGGGAGATCCAGAGCTTCAGCCCATCCGGAGCTACGAAAGCGCCACCCTGGTCCGTCTGCTTTTCCGGCTGTCTTTGGCCATTAACGAATGCGTAAGTGAACCTCTGGCCTCCCCGGGCCATCGAGCGGGGCCCTCCTTCCCTTGGCCTTCGCATTCCAGGCGCCCCCAGACCGGCCTCTTCCCAGCCTCCATGCCAGAGCAGAGCTACATGAGGCTGGCATCTCGTTGTGAGGAGGACAAGAAGCCCTTGGCCCATTGGACAAGGCCACGGGGTGTGTGTGGCTAGGACAGTGCTGTTCGTGGCAGCATATTCTGCAATTAGCCATCCCCGAAGGAGGGTTTGGTCTGTCCGTTTAGCTTCCGCCCTTGAGATGAAGGGGCTCCGCCTCATTTCCCCCGCCTTGATTTGATTTCACCTTGGTCTCTTTTAGTTTGGGAATCAGATGGAGAGGCTCTGTGCCAGAGAAGATTTCCTTGGCGGTTTCTGCCGCTATCACCTTACCAACCTGCCTCTGGTGGCCAATTCCCAGCGCAGCCCACACGCCAAGTGGCATTCGGGCCGGATTCAGCAGCCGAGAGTCAGGCTGAGGTTTCTGGCCAGCTACAGGACTCTCTTCTCCGTGCTGATAGTTTACTTCGTGGGCTCCTGGTTCTGCCTTGGGCCCGTGGCCTGCACCTTCCTCCTCCTCTTGGGATACCTTCTCTTTGCCTGTGGGATGACCGTCTGGACTGAGAAAAGGCAGCTGCATTGAGGGCAGACGTTGCCCAAGTGAGCCCTGCCTCCAGCCGGGGGTGCAGACTCTCCTGGGCGCTGAAGAAGATTTTTAATCGCGCTTCGCAGAGGGTATAATTCTGTGCCTGTCAACTGTTGCTGTGTATACATTCTATTTTGATAAAGCTTTTTTAAAAACACACACACACACACACCCCATGCTCTTGGGAGACTCCTGGTGGCAGGAGAAGCCAAAAGTAGCAGGAGTCCTGGGCCGCTTTGGTGTCCCCAGTGTGACGGGGCTGCTTGGGCTGTGCCAGCTTCTGCAGCCGGGCTCCGCTCCAGTGCCCACGGCAGTCAGCTGTTGGGTCCGTCTCCTGGCAGCCTTCCAGCTCATCGGGCTTCATTTGGCCCTTTGAGGACCCGTTCACTGGCGCAAGTGGTGCTGTCCCTTGCAATAGAAGTGAGGGGATCCTTTGCTGAATGGTGGGGTCCAGCTGTCAGCTGTCCCAACTTGGTCAGTTGGAAAAGAAAAACCCTTAGGCCCATCGTTAGCTGAAGCTGCACTTTACTAAAGCCAAGCGGTGACGGAAGAAGCGGAGCTGGATTTGAGGTTTTCCTGCCCAGCGTATATGGTTAACCTTTCTGTGTCCTCCACCCCCACCCATCAAGCTGTGATGTCCCAAAGGGGCGTGGCACAAAGGCCACACAGACAATAAGTAGGAGTCCCTTTATTAGCTCCCAACTTTGCCCCCAATGTCCTGGTTACCTTCTGGCTGGAGAAAAACTCCCAGGAACAGCCGTTGGCTGCAGAGAATCAAGTCCAAAACGTGGTCAACAACAACTGTTAAGTCCAATCAAGGGAAGATGAGGTAATTAGTCCAGCAGGGCAGAAGAAGGAATTCCAGACATGAAGGAACTATAGTAATTCAACATGGTTGGGAGGATGCCAGGAATGCAGATAACCAAAGTCAAATAAGATAAACTCATGTTTGTTTCCAGCAGATGCTGCACTCAGCATGCCTCTTTTAAACTCCCTTCCTAGGTGTGGCTAATGAAGGGAATCAGGGCCCTTTCCTTCCCTGTAAGCCACGCAACCCATGTTGCTCTCTTCTCCGTTCCTCCCTGCGTGCCCTAGGATGAAGAAGGGGTGGGCCTGGGTCTTCCTCTGAACTCCTCCCTTGTTCTACCTCTTCCCTGCTCTGCCCAGCCGGAAGTTGCTCTTCCCCAGTTCCCTCCACAGGCAACGGAGGAGCCACACTCCCACTCCCTGTCAACTGTCAGTAGCTGTCTTCCTCTGATTCAGACTCGACGGGCATGACAGAGGCGTTCAGTTAGGACAAGGGTGCAAACTTGATTTCATTGAGGGTTGCATCAGGGTTGTGTTTGACCTGGAGGACCAGGGGTGTGTGGCCAGTGGGCATAGCCAGCTCAATGCCACTCAAGTTTGGGGGGCACCTGTAGTGGCTCAAGTGCTCTGCCAGTGAAAATGGGCTCCCGAGCTCAGTTTTTGGCTGCGACGGCTTCCTGCCACCCTCTACCAGCGAAAACAGCTCGGGAGGGCCGGCCGCGGCCCATGCAAGCTCCATGTTGTGCTGCGACGGCCTCCTGCAACCCTCTGCCAAGCTCTGTTATTCACTGGCAGAGGCACCAGGGACCAAATCCGTTGCTGTTTCCCGAGTGGCCCTGTGGGCTAGATCTAAGCATTCTGCGGGGGCATCTGGCCCCCGGACCTTGAGTTTGACGCCCCAATTAGGGGCTAACGGATTGTTTTGGGAAGCAGTCCCGGTCTCTGCAGCTGGCATTCCTCTCATCCTTGAAGCAGCCAGGGTTTCTCTTGGAACAGTCTGAGGCTTGGTTTTGTTTCCTCATGGTATCCCCTGGCAACCCTCCCTCTCATCCACCTAATGCCCTCCCTCCCCCCTTTCGATGGCAGGCTGCAAACCGTGGAGTGTAGCATGACCAGCCCTCCTCATAAGGGGAGAGGGCTGAATGAACAGAAAAGTGACTCGAGAAGCGGCAAACCATGGTTCTGGGGACCGGGGGGATACCAAATAGTGATCCCAAAGGCTTCTGTTTGTAGAACAAGCATAGAAACAAGACTTTTTTTTAAAAGGCTATGGCCAGCAGGCAAGGTGTGGCAACAGCATCCCCACCCCTCCATTCACAGAGAAATTTAAGTTCTGACTCCCTGGTGGGAAAGTTTCCGTTCTCTTGTCCAAAGGCTCCGAGGGAAGAAGTTCCCTGCCCTGTTAGTTCCATGGAAGTTACACGAGGTGCCCTTCGCAAAGTGAGGGTGCAAATACTTCTACCTGGAGCAGGTTGCCTCAAAGGGCTAAGCAGGAGGGGCCGTGGAGGCTCCACAGAAGCAACCAATGCCAAATGGCAAGCCTCGAGGAGGTGCGGCTGCTGAGTTGGCCTTCCCCTGTCGGCACCTGGCCACACACCTGCATTCATGTGGGTTTCTAAAGGAGCTACTCAGTCTTACTGCGCTGGTCCAGCCATGAGGGTGTGGCGGCAGTTTGAGCATCTTGGCTGGAAGAGCCCAGCAGGAGCCTCGGGACGTGGGAGGACAACCGGAGCCATTGTGGTTTCGGAGCAGCCCTGTTTGGCTTCGTGGGGCTCAGCCAAGCCCCCTTTGGCCGGGAGGCACCTGGGGTCCTCGGCCCATCGGGCAGTCCTGCCAGAAGTTTCCAGCGCAGGGAACGGCGGGCGGGCAAAGGGAAGCCCGGGGCGTTGGGCCCAATTGGCAGGAGGGAAGAAGCGGCTCAGGTGCGGCTGCTCTTTGCGGAGGGGGGAGGATGCTGGGGGGGGGATCCGCCTCTCTCTTCCCCTCCGCCCAGAGTAGCGGACAGGCGCCCGGGGGCTGCGGCTCGTCCTCCTCCTCCTCCTCCAGGCGGAGCTGCTCGGGGCCGGCGAGGCGCTCGGCTCCTTCTGCTTGGCCGGGCCGAGCGGCAGCGGCTCCCGGGGGCCCAGGGAGGCTTCCAACCCCGCCAGCGGCCCCTCCCCGCAGCCCCCCGCGCGCGCCCGGTCTCCTTGGCGACGGGGACGCGGCGGCGGCGGAGCGAGCGAGCGAGCGAAGCTCGAGCCACGGCGACCGCGATGCGCCCCGGGCGGTGGTAGCGCATGCAGGGCTCGGGCTTCCCGCCGCTCGGCCACCTGCCGCACTGGCAGCGCGCGGGGCAGGCGGAGCGGCCCGGCCGGCCTCTCGCGCCCGGCGGCCCCGGCCCGGCTGACGCCCCCCCGCCGCCCACGCCCCCCTCGAGGCGGCCGGGCCCCGAGCTGGAGCGCAGCCTGCAGTTCCTGCAGCAGCAACACGGCGAGACGCTCCGGCAGCTGCACCAGGAGATCGACCGGCTGAAGCGGCGCAACCAGGGTGCGGGCGGGCGGGGGGGGGGGGCGGAGGGGGGGCCACCCTGACCCGCCCCGCCCCGCCCCGCCCCCCGCTGACCCCGCCTCTCTCCCCGCAGATCTGCAGTACCGGCTCATCATGCAGCCGCTGCTCCAGCAGGCAGGTAGGCCGGGCGGGGCGTCCCCTCGCCTCTCCCGCTCCCCCGGGCGGAAGGGAGGCGCGGCGGGGTCCCGGGAGGCGAGCCGCGAAGTCGGGGCCCCGTCGCGGGAGGCCGGCCGGCCGGGCCCTCTGCCGGGGGCGACCCGGCTGGCGCGTCTCCCGCAGGGGCTCCCCGGGGCTCAGCCGGACGCCGAGAGAGGAGGAGCCGCCGCCGCGGAAGAGCGTCGCCGGCGGAGAAGCCGGGCAGGGCGAAGCGGCCCCTTCGGGCTCCCCACTCTCGGCCTTCCTCGGGCCGCCCTGGAGCTCGGGGGGCCCGCCGGAGTCGGCGTCCCCTCGGCCTGACCGGCGGAAGGAAGGGCCGGGCTCGCCGGAGACCGCCGGGGGCTTGCGGGGGGGGGGGGGGGGGGGGCGGCCTTGGCGGGCGCCGCCCCGGCGTCTCCCTCCTTTTGCAGAGGCGGAGCCGAGGGCCGGCGAGGACGAGGCCCCGGCCGAAGAGGAGGCGGCCCCGGAGGGGAGCTCCGAGTGGGCGAGGGACGCCGAAGGCCTCAGCCCGGAGCCCCAGGAGGCGGCGGCAGCCCCGGCAGCCCCGGCCAGGTGGGAGAGCCCGGCCGGTAGCGGCTGTTTGTCTTTATGCCTTTTCTGATTATGAAAAACAGAGTTTATAACACAAAAAGTTATAAAGGAGAAACAAAGAGAAAAGCGGGTTTCCGATCACAAATTGCATTTCTATCTGAACACGAGGGAGGCTAAACAACTCAAGGTACCTTTTGTGCAAGTGGACACAATCCATTCTACCAAAGTTTTTGCTACCATCCATGTTTTCTTTTGATGTTCGCACTTCTTTCCACTGTCCAGACAAAATAAGTATTTCTCATTTTTTATTCCATTCGTTCCATTAAAACCACTCCTCCATGTATTCATTTTTTAAAATTATTTCTGCAATGGGGGTTAGTCAGTCTGTGGCATCAAGTGAGGTTGAGAAAAAATGATCAAAAGTGCTTTTCTGGAACTCATGAAATTATTGTAATGATAAGAGGACTTTTGAAACACGTTATTCTTTGCATGCCAAGAGTCGCCTTGATATGCAACATAGGAAGGTTCTGAAGCAGCCCAGAAGGAAAATGGCCACTCAGCAGTTTGTCCCAGATTGAGCCCTAGTCAACAGATCTGGCTAACAAATACGCTGCTCAAAAAAAAATAAAGGGAACACAAAAATAAGACATCCTAGATCTGAATGAATGAAATATTCTTATTAAATACTTTGTTCATTACATAGTGGAATGTGCTGACAACAAAATCACACAAAAATTATCAACGGAAATCAAATTGAGCAACCCATGGAGGTCTGGATTTGGAGTTACACTCAAAATTAAAGTGGAAAAAAACACTACAGGCTGATCCAACTTTGATGTAATGTCCTTAAAACAAGTCAAAATGAGGCTCAGTAGTGTGTGTGGCCTCCACGTGCCTGTATGACCTCCCTACAACCCCTGGGCATGCTCCTGATGAGGTGGCGGATGGTTTCCTGAGGGATCTCCCACACCTGGACTAAAGCATCCCCCAACTCCTGGACAGTCTGTGGTGCAACGTGGCATTGGTGGATGGAGCGAAACATGATGTCCCAGATGTGCTCAATTGGATTCAGGTCTGGGGAACGGGCAGGCCAGTCCATAGCATCAATGCCTTCGTCT